TTTATATTTTTTTAAAGTCTAGAATGTTCATCTGTCACCGTGTAAAAATTAAGTATTTTTGAAATAATAATCACCCTACATAATTAAAAAATATAAATAAAACACTAATTTCCTAATATTCTAAGCTCTGACCCTCTTACCCAGAAAGATACACATATGTACACTGAATATAAGATAGTTCACAGATCTTTTTAAACAACTTTTCTTCTAATAAAATGCATTTACTAACTTAAAGCAAAAGCTTCTCTAAGTATGCCAGCTGGTTTAAAGTAAAAAATAAAATTCTTATTTCTATTTAATTTTAATATCAGTGTTAAATACACTGAGATTTAAGCTGAGATGTTGCTAAGAATTTCACCTAAAGACTGAAGGGCCTACTTTATTTACAAATACAGGTGAAAAAAAGAAATGATGAATGACGAGGATGAAGACATCGCACTGACCCTCATCTGGTCATTACACCTGTACTGAAATATCACAGTGCAGCCCATTAATAAGTACTATTTTGTATCTATTAAAAATAAAAATAAGCTGGGTATGGTGGTGCACCCCTGCAACCCCAGTTACTCAACAATCTAAGGCTAGAGGATGGCAAGTTCAAGGCTAGCCTCAACAACCTAGCGAAACCCCTGGCTCCCTAGGGCTGGAGATGTAACTCAGTGATAAAGAGCTCCTAGGTTCTTAAATTAAAAAAAGAAAAAAAAAAAGAAAAGAAAACTAACCACATGTGATAATAAACATTTAAGAGAGAGAGAGAGAGAGAGAGAGAGAGAGAGAGAGAGAGAGCGCACACACTCCTAGGTTCAATTCTCAGCATCATGTAAAGATACATGCTGTGTATGGCGGCCTATGCCTGTAATCCCAGCAGCATGGAGACTGAGACATGAGGATCACGAGTTCAAAGTTAGCCTCAGCAACTAAGCGAGGCCCTAAGCAACTTAGCAATATTTTGTCTCTAAATGAAATATAAAAAAGGGGTGGGGAGAGGCTGGGGTTGTGGCTCAGTGGTAGAGCGCTTGCCTGGCATGTGTGAGGCACTGGGTTTGATTCTCAGCACATAAAAATGAATAAAGGTCTACCAACAACTAATAAAATATTTAAAAAGAAAGAAGTGGGGAGGCTGGGGATGTGGCTCAGTGGTAAAGCACCCTTGGGTTCAATCCCTGGTACATAAAATAAATAAACAGATAAAGATATATATATGAAAAAAAAATATATATTTTGAGCATTCCTAAATCCAAAAATCTAAAATCTGAAATGCTTCAAAATCCAAAAACTTTTTTGAGCACCTACATAAAATAAGAGGAAAATTCTACACCAAGAATTTGTTTCATATTGAAAGTTATAAAAAACACTGTATAGTTATCTTCAGACTATGCATATAAGATGTATTTGAAACATTAATAAATATGTGTTTAGACCTGAATCCCCTCCCTTCTGTCCCAAACATTTGAGACAAGGGTATTCAGACTATAAAACGTAATTGCCAAAAATTATGGTTTCCTCTAAAATTTCTAGATGAGTTCAACTCTTCACTCAAAAACTATGTGCACAATTTTCCAGCAAAATGAAGACAAATTTATTCACTTCTAATGCTTGAAAAATAGATCATATTTGAGCCTAGAGAGTTTTTTATTTGAGAAAATACACACAAAATCCTTTCCTGCATAATTTTAAATGAAAAGACACTGACCCTTAAAAAACAGCAACTTCTGTAGTCTAAAAATTCACAGGTCTCATTCTCTCTTACCTTTTCCAGCCACTGATACTGCTGATCTTCAGCAACATAGCAACTACACTGACAGACAAAAACCTGAAAAATAAAATTCAAAGTTTTTTTTCAAGATAAATAAATTTTATACACACCCAAACTGCCACCATATACATATCATGTGAATACCAACGGAACACTGCTGTACTCTGGATGTGGAATGTCTGCGAAAGACCCATGTGTTTCCTAAAGTTTCTACATCTGCCAAACTGGGAGGTGGTGGAAACCTGAAGAGAGGGGCGCCTAGTAGGAGATCTTCAGGTCATGGGGGTAGCCTTGAAGGTGACACTTGATCTTCCCCCTCTTCTCTTTTGCTTCCTGGTCATGAGGTAAGCAGCTTTGCTATGCCTGGTGCTCCTACCATGATGTACTGACCCCAATCAGAGGTCTTAAAGGAACGTGTCTGTGTGATCATGTACTGGAACCTCCAAAACCCCCGCTGATAGATCTCACATGTTTGTTACAGTGACAGAAAGAAAACACAAACACTTATCTTCCTGACTATACTACTAGCCCATTTACTTCTCTTAAATTTAATAAGAGTTAAGCCATTACTGATAACTGATATCAGAATAAAGAATGCATTTAGAGAGCAGTTCAGTGACATGCCTGTTAGATTCTGGGGTACACTAACAGCAAAGACTCTGAGATGCTTAAATAACTAACTTTTAAACATACAAGTTAAGTCCCACATACCAAGGGATTTGATTTTAGGTGATAAAACACACAAAAAGACTCTGAAGGGGACAGGTGTGTGGTGTCCACTGTTCTACACCATTCATTCCAGAGTTTGGCACAACCAACTTCTTCCCAGACACCTGAATTCATAACAAACGATGACAAAAATGCTGTAAGAGAACAATTCACACAAGTTAGTGCTTAGCCCTGCATGCTGTATTCTCTATTCAATAAAAAGCTGAAATTACTCTAGAATTTGAGAGCTGAAAAAGTCCTTAAGATCATCTAATGCCGGGCTGGGATTTGGCTCAAACGGTAGCACGCTCGGCTGGCATGCGTGCGGCCTGGGTTCCATCCTCAGCACCACATACCAACAAAGATGTTGTGTCCGCCGAGAACTAAAAAATAAATATTAAAAATTCTCTCTCTCTCTCCCCTCTCTCACTCTCTCTTAAAAAAAAAAAAAAAAAAAAAGATCATCTAATGCCACCAATCTGCAGGAGGCAGCCAGGGCTTCACGAAAGGCCATACTGAGTAAGACAAGACTACAGCCAGGAAGGGACAAGACAGGCTTACAGACAGACTCCCAGGGTAACACTCCCCTAAAAATGTGAGACCAGAACTTCATATAATGAGTCAGAGTCACTTACTATGTACTTAGTATGCTCTGTAAGTCCCAGGGATGCATTATATGGCAAGGGATCTTAATGGGGTTCCCAAATGTTCCCAATACCTGTAACTCCCCTAAAATTATAAAGATCTTTGTGTACAGGTCTTGTACAGACATTGTTCTAGATGAACTTTACACTTTTCTACCTTTAACTCACCAAGTGAATCAACACAAAGACATTGGAACTTAATTGCTCAAAAGAGCTAGTGATCACTGTTATTTTTGGAGTTCTCATTATGTTTTCAAAAGCCTATTAACTCAAAAACATTTAAGTAAACCTGGCTACAACACACCAGAAACAGTTCCTTGAGCTTTAAGTTCCTGAAGACACAAATATTTCCTTTAAATCTTATTTTTTATTTCCATTTTTAGAAGATAGTACACATGAACAGGTGATGTATTTATCCCCTCTCAGAAACAAAGTTACTCTACCAAGACTTTTCTCTTTTAAGTAACCAACCTTTGAAGTCTTTTAGAATGGAAAGAAGTAACTTTGTATTTTTTCTTTCAACAAAACCTCTAGTCTTCTGCATTTTTCACTTACCTACTGCATTATTTCCTATAGCAATTATAAACTTGGAACAAGGATATTTTTCTAGCAGAGAAACTTCCAGAGATGTTTTTGTCTGTCTTCGAAGAAGCCGCACCTCCCTAACACAAGAAACAAGATGAAACCAAAACAGCTTAAACACAGTCAGTATTCTACTTTGAAAAAACAACATTATATGTATGATTGAAGTACCTTTACTAATCGGTAAAACTGACACTTGCATTCTATAAAGAATATAATTAGAATCCTAAAGAAAGAGCAGATTCAGGCACTGATAATCAACAAAACTACTGCAAGCAAGCTTCATGTCCATCTGACCCCCTGATCAATCTTAGCATCCCTAAAAGTGAAAAAAACTGGGCAGTATGCAACAAGAAACAGTACCACAGCACCACTTCAAAGCTCTCTCGCTAAAGAATGTCAATCTATCTGATCCAAGTTCCAAAATTAACATTCTTTTGCAGGAGATGCAGGTGATGAGCACACGTGTGAAATGCCTCCAGGAGGAGCAACCAGACAAATCCAGAGCTCTCTACAGGAGTAAAAGGGAAGGTGAACCGCTCCAAATGAAATGAGCCCTCTAAGTGTAAGGCGCGGACCTGGTCAGGAGACCGATGTACCCAAACCCACCGGAAGATCTCAGTCTGACCGAACTAGGTGTACGAGACGATATGGAACACCACTACGACTGCAGACTATGAGAGACCTAAATCGTATTTTGAGACGCATTCTGCAGGGTGCAGGCCGTACCGGGGCCGTGCTCCGGGGGCGGCAGGAGGGGAAGTCTCCGTGGGCGCTGAGCTGACCTGAGTGCGGGCTCCGGGGTCCTTCACGTTCGCCCATCTCGTGGGGGATAACGGTTGAAAAGAGCGCGCACCTGCCACCCACGCAAGGCCGGCTGGAGCGCGGGAGGAGGAGAGCCCCCGGGGCGCGCGCAGGCTCGCCGGGCCGGGTAGCGGCCCCTCGCGGCGCGGGCCAGCGCGCTCCCCACCCCCGCGCCGCCCGTGCCGACGCCTCACCTCTTCCGCGCCAGCTGCCGCCGGACCTCCCGGTCCTCGGGGGTCTCCCTCCGTCCCGCCTCCTCCTCCTCCTCCTCCTCCTCCGTCCCGGCTCGGCACGGCGCCTTCACCACCACCTCTCCAAAGAAAGTGGCTGCCATGGCCTCCAAGGGACCGACCGCCCGCACAACCGCGGCGCCGCGGGACGGCGCACGCGCACCTCCGCGCGACCACGCCCCCCGCACTGCTCTACGCGTGGGCACACCCCTTGCGCGGCGGCCCCCCTCCCCGCTCAGCCACGCCTTCGTACCGCCCGGCACGTAGCCACGCCCCCTGTACCGCCCACGCGCAGCACTCAGTACCCGCAGGCCCCGGAAGCCCCGAGCGTTTTCCTTCCGCTGCCTTAGCCCCGCGGGGAGACCGAGACTCTGGAGGATGGCGGGCTAGAGGGGCAGGAAGTGAGCCCGTCGGCGGAGCCCGCGGAGGGTCTCCGGTCACACAGGTAACGGTCCCGTCCTCTGCGGGAAGTGCTTCAGCAAGATCCTAGCCCGCATGCTTTTCCTTCCTCCAGGGCCTTCCCCTTGCCCTCCAGTAAGCGCGGTGGAGCGGAACGGCTTACTGAGCTGTTCCGCACCTGGTCGCCCCGGCGGGCAGCGGGCGGCGGGCAAGAAGAAATACAGTGCTTCGTGGTGTTGTACAAACGGGACCTTTACTCTGGCTTAGGAATTCGCATTCAAAAGCTGATGATTGTCAAACCGACCTAAAAAACGTTTTATGAGAATGCAAAAATAGTTTTTGAAACTTGGCCACTTATTTTTTTCATCTTAAATAGCCTTTCACTGTTAGGTATTGAATTGGTTCTTTATTAGCTTGTGCTGGAAGACAAAGCTCACAGAGCACTGTTCCAAGCGAGAGAAAAGGGGACAACTCTCGGCTGAATCCATTACTACAATGAAACGCAAAAGACAAATCCTGGATTTAGATGTGTTGAAATGGATGTCACTGCCTGCATTTTGGAACCTTTTCAGCGAATAGTCACAATGGTAATACATTGGGGGAGTCTTTTTAGATTGGCCCAAAATATCTCCAAGTTGCCAGAAACAAGATATCTTAAGATGTGGGAAAACAAAAAGATCACTTGCATAAAATGTCTACAGCTTTACACATCAAGGGGGAAATAAAATATGTGAACACTTAAGAGTAAACAGACCAAGCTGCTAGCCGTAAGCTTAGGAAACCTTGGGTATCATCTATGAGAAAGAATATACAAGATTACCAATATAACATTTTAAAACATGAGGACTCCTGCATTAGTCGGTCTAGTATAATGAGTGAATTGCAGATAAAAAGGTTGTTTGGGCATCACTTTGTCTTAGTCCTTTTGTTAATTGTCATTTTACAAGTAAGATATTCAACTTGATTTTTCATCATTTGATATTACATTATGAAGAAATCTTTTCTGACAATCTGACTAAAGTTATTATAGAATAATGATAACACATTTGTCTATGATTTAAATTCTGCATACATCTCAAAAGTTTTACAAGAATGTTAAGTTTCAAACAAATGCTTATTTCATGCAATTACAATAAACAGACCAAGCACTTATAAAAAGGCAAATATATGTTTAAATTAAATACTAAATTGGAAAAGGAATTCCATTATGAAAGGATGACCATACAATCTCAGATACTGACAAAAACCAGAGAAGATTACAAACTCAAAACTTAATTCATCACATTTGAATTGTTAAAAATTTTGCATAATAGTGTTCACTGAGACTTAAATATTTTCATCTTATGGCACTTTTTGAGGATATAATATACCAAATAAGAAATTTGAAATTAATGTAAATTTTGGACTGGGAAATAAGTTTTAACATTTCATTAAAGCTCAAAAGTTAAATCCCATGCACTTAAAAATAGCAGTTTATTAGGAATTCTTCCCTTTCTCACCTATTTTAAATAACAAGATTTTGGAGCTCAGTATTTAAAATTAAAGTATACTAGAAAAAGAACAAAGGACACATTGTAGGTTAGAATATTCTGGCTTACACTGAAAATCCCAAAGCCTTTTTAAAAACAGACATGCAGCCACAAATTTCTCAAGTAATCCAAACACTTTGTCGATCTGTATAACCAAAAAAATAAAATAAGCATTAGTCTTAATAATAGAAACTCCCAGATTTCTACATTTTACTTTTTTCAATTACACATGCAAATTATATACTGATATTCACAGATATTTTTAAATGAGAAAACAACTTGCTTTTGACAACTTATTTTTCCAATAACATCTAAGTTAAAAAGATTTGACAGTACATTCATTTAATCCAGTGATCAAATACCTATTAATAAATTAAGCCCCATTACAAATAAAATTTTTGTAGTACCATGATCAGATTTTCTAATCCTAGCAAAGGCCACAATGATATAAGCCAGACATGCTGCCATAAAAGTTTGTGATGAGATTGTAGTAAATTTTCCCATTGTTCAATTTCCAACTCTTAAGTTGCTGAGGATAAAGGTGATATTTCACTCTATAATCTAAAAATAGGACTGCTTTGATCTTAAGCTCTACTTTTTATTTTCTGATTAAAACTAAGCCTGCCTCTTAATTTTTGCTGCTACGTGAAACAAGGAAAAGTGATAGTCACTTCAGAGCTTTCATAGAAAAATATATATTCCCTGAATTAGTCATACCAAGTGGTCATCATTCAGTATGAATCCCAAAGTTTTAAACAAAATAAGTCTTCAATGGATTTTCTCTATCTGCCTATTTCCAACGCTGCTTCAGAAATCCAGCATTAAATCCCCTTCTGCAACTTTTGTTTTGACCTTTGAATGTGAAATTTAGGAATTAGATCTAGTTGAAGTTTTTGCTTCACTCAGAAGACAAATAGGCTCACCAGCACTTTACTTTGAAAATGAACCTATATATTTTTCCAGTTTCAGTAATGACACCATAATCATGGTGGCCGGAATTTTTATATTCAAATGAAAAAAAATATTAAAATTAGCGTCAAGTTGAGGTGTTGAAAAAATTTTTTTCATCCTTCCTACATATCCTGTCCACTTCCCATTTTCTTCCTTCAAGGAGTCAGGTTTTAAGGACCTTGTTCTCTGTAAAGGAGCCTCACTCTTAGGCCCATTGCCTTTTCTTTCCACCTCTCAAACTACAGACTCCACAATCTGCTTCCTCATCAGACCCCCCTGTATAATGTGTTAGTTCAAGGGCTGGCTGGAAGGAAACCTTCCTCCCACTCCGCCCACTGGAGTATGGCTTTTAAGAAATTCCTCAAAAGATGCCAAGAAGGGATTAGCTTTAGGGCTTACAGCAGAATGCAACTGCAGAGGCCCCTGCTTGTTTTCAGACACCACTTCTACATTCTCAGTCACTATTGTGCTTTTTCTTTCCAGGATCTGAACCGCCTAAAAAAAATCACTTTGCTATTAGTATCTTCTAGCTCTTTTTCACTTTCAGAATTTATGGTTGTATCATCCTCTTTATATACATTCAGTAACTTTTTCTTAGCCGCAGCAGAAGCATTTCGATGGGGCAGTTTTCTGCTACTCTTCCTAATCCAGATATTTTCTGGTCCTGAAATCGTTTCCTTTAGATTACTCATTATCTTTATTTTATTTGCAGCAACAGTAGCACATCTGCGGGGAACTTTCTCAGGTACCATTTTTGCTTTCAGAGTTTCACTAGGCATTTGCACTGCATCCTTCTGATTATGCATACATGTTCGCATTTTTGTTTGGGGTTCTCTGTCTCTAGGAACAGATTCTGAAAAATGAGTGAAAGGTCATGTAAATGCAAAAATCTTGTAACACAAGATTTTACTACTACATTCCTCAACACTTACGTTCCTAAACAATGAATTTTAAGACTTCCAATTTTGACAAATATAACTTTATATTTTCCTTCTCTGCATCTAAGGAGACTGTCAATACAATAGCAGACTTGCAAGAGGTTAATAATACCTTTAGCATCAGAAAGCCACTCACATAAAAACCCTCTTTAAAATCCAGATTTAAAAAATAAGACCATGTGTTTGTTTTTTGCTATCATTTTTAATTCTCCATTAAACTACTTTAAAATACTCAATAGAAATAATTTCCCTAGAACCTAAACAAGAAAAGCCGTCATGACTATATATATGACAGCAACAAATCAGCTCTGTGGTCAAGGTCCTTAAGGTTCTCCTTGCAGATCAGAATTTCCTCTACTCTAAAAAATTGTTAAAATTGGTAAATGATGGATGAAAAAAATCTTACACTAATTTTATGTAACTGAAGTGTGGCTTTAACCCTAGATTTTTCAAATATTGCAACATTTTACAAAGCTGGAATTAAATCTTCAGTAATTCAAATATTTTCTGACCTAGATATGTTCCAGAAGGTTATGATAAAGATCCTAAAAATAATTACATATATATAATTGCTTTAAGGAACTTACCAGGGCAGGGTGCTATGAAACCTCACCAAGTTTAAGGGACAGTGGAAGGCTTCCTTTTTGAGGAAATGCTATTATAGATGAGCTAGAATTTGTGAAGGAATTGGCCATACCCAAAAAAGCCAAGCTCCCTGGAGAGGGCAGCCCCTCACCCAGACCCCAGAGGTGTTGGGAGGGTGGCTGCAGATCGTATTTGCTACTCCACACATAGCAAACTGAGGTGAGCTCAAATCTTATTTTTGCTGGTGTCTCAAATTTTGATTTTTCATACTTTAAAAACAAGATTAATATTTTTCTAGGGCATTCCTTTGGCATGTCTTACGTGAATCCGATATTAGCCTCTGAATTTTAGGCCTTATGTGTTGGCAAGCTAGTGAAGTTTCCAGGCCTTGAGCAGTCAATAAGGACAGGCTTTAAATCACTAAAATAACACAACTATCTTACATCCACACAACTTCTGTAAGGCTCTATGGTATTTTTCTCTTTACTACCAAGTCTAGAAAATAAGAGCTGTTTGGTCAGGTAATATCAAGTAACACTATTATTCTGTAGCAGTGAATACTACCTACCAACTTCCTTAGTTTTTCCTCTTATGGAGACGTTTGCCCTCATGTCAGCAAGCTGAAGAAAGGGCAGATGAGTACAGGTAAAATCTTCTGCTCTGAATTGCCATGTTCCCATAGCAAGCATTATGAGGTCCTTTGCCCTTACAGCAAAAATGCTTCCATTTACTGTGTGTGAAATGGGTCTTACTATTGTGCTTTCTCTAAGACCCTGAGGAGTTCTCTCACATTGGGTTTAGAGATATTTCACTCACAGCAACCTTGAGACACACACACTCATCCCTTTTACTCATGAAATGAGTGGTTCTCATGCTTTTTCAGTGTAATTTCATTTTTAAAGACAGCATGTTTTGTTCAGTGTAAGGCCCCAGGCACCTAAAAGGCCTGTTACCAGGTAGACATTCTCTGAACAAGCATGCCCTTTTCACCACCTCTAGGTGGCTCTGAAGGAAAATGAAGTGCAGTGTTTTCAACCTTTGAG